TCTGTCTCAAATAAATAAATAAAATCTTTAAAATAAATAAATAAATAAATAAAAATAAAACAAGCAGTCCTGGTGGCGTACAGGACGACTCACTTTCTAAAGGATATCTCAGAGACAACAGCCCATGTTTGGGGGCATCAGGCTTCTCTTTGGTCCCTGAGAGCCCCATTCCCAGGGGCCCTAAGCTCCAGCCTCTGGGGAGAATTTCACTTCGCGGGCCAGTCGGCACCCCGGGCTGCAAAGTGGAGAAGGGCCAGAGGGCAGATCAGGCTGACTGCTCCTAGGGTTCAGGCTGAAGGGCCCCGAGAGGAGACCCAGAGAGAAAACAGTGGGGTCTTGCACTCGGGTAGGGCTCCGGGGGCGGGGGGAGGTGAGAGACTGCCCTGAGCTTGCACACTTCCACGGACCAGAGGTCACCAGAGATGACAAGTCCTCCTCACCTATCTGTGGACTCCACACTTTTTGAGAAGTCCATCAAGAAAATCTAGGCAGGCACCCCCCCCCATATGCCCTTTAACTACATAGTAGTACCAAGGCGTTCACACACCATGCGTATTATAAACAAACGCGAGCACTCAGCTTAAAAAGAATGATACAAAATAAATTTAAATAGATGTTCTGCTACCTTTACCCCCCACCCACCACCCCGCAGTGGGTGGGCTTGCTCACCCCTTGGTTCTCTGCACCCATCCTGAGTCTGTATACATAAGGCGCAGAGCAATGTGCACCCAGTCGACCATGTTCATGTCTCAAGGGTGGCCCGCATTTCTCAAATGGCAACTGACTGAAACAGTTATTTACTGTCAAAACATCCAGATGACTCACTGATTGAGGTTTTGGAGAGTGTGCCCGATGGCATCAATGGGAACATATTTCTGGAAGAATGATGTTTGTGCATTCTTATGGAGAAACTCTGCCTTAATGCTTGACGTTGTTTTCTTGGTGCTTCTGCTTCCCGCCTCCAAGTTGGGATTATTCTTGGAATGTTGCATTGTTTGTTGGTTTTTTATGCTATTAAAACTACCAGGCTAAAATTATGTTTTGTGTCTTCCTTGTCACTCCTGGAGCATTGCAGACTTGGCTACGTGCTTTTCAAAGCATGTAAGATTTCCAGCACGATGATACGACCCTCCAAGAGCCAAAGAATGCCACAGCCCCGTAGCTTCTAACTCTAATGCAGGTTCCTACGTTCTATTAGTTACTTTTTCGGTAATAAAACTCACAGATGGTGCTAGGTCATCAGATGACATAATCTAATCCCCTCGGGTTAGGAAGTGAAGGCCCAGGACAGATGCCTGCTCAGGAAACTGCAGAACCAGAACTGGAAGCCAAGGCTCCTGTCCTGTGATGAGTTTTGCCACTGCCTGTCACCTTCTGCTTCTCAGATTTCCCCTTCGTTTGGCCCTGGCGTCAGGATGATGAGTGAGTGGCTGGAAGCACAGAGCTGGGTTCCCACCCCAAAGGAAATGGTCCTGAAAACTCCTTGGGTGAGAATCAGCAGCTGCACTCTCTCAAAGAAGACCGGGAGACGCGGATTTGGCCCGTTCACCTGATTTGCTGGATTCTGCACTATCTGGTCAACCCACTGAACACTCCTGACGTCCTCTCTTTTAGGCCCACTTTTTACAGTCTGGCTGGAGATGCCTAGGGTCTGGCCACAAGGAAACAAACTCCCTAGCTGGAAGAGTGAACAAAGACGAGGTGAATCCGGAGCAAGGACACAGGCCAGCTCAACGCCTTGAATCCTTCCAACATGACCGTCCCGACTCCCCTCTTTCTCCCCCAGGCCACGACCAGGGTGAGAGAGAGCTGGGAACGGTAACCTTCAGTGGGTGTTAGGAATTCCAAGCAGAGTTAAGTGTCCTTAGAGGAGGAAGGGTTGCGATGAGGCTTCAGTTGAGGAGAGCTTCCTCTAGCACGTGAATGGTCTGTGTCTCTTCCCACCTGTGGTCTCGTCCCCACCACCGCCAGCCTGTCATGGGGGCGGTACTGGAACGTGGGTTCAGGCGTGAGAAGCTGGGCACCGTCTCCCTTTCAGGAGTCTGTTCTGGGACATCAATGGCCCGTTTTGTCAGTTACCTCCAGGTAGAACCGCTCTACAACAGATAAGCAGAGAGCCCAGTGCAGGTCTGCTTTCTACATGTCCTGTCTTTCTCTCTCTCTCCCCATGGACGATGCCACCCTGGGGCTGCAGATGGGCTGGCATCTCCCTCACCTCACTGCCCACAGAGAATTCTTCCATTTTGCCCTCACACACCTGGGGCTCTGCTTGTTCTGTAGCAAAGCTGGGAAAGCAGGAATGAAGGGGAGAGAACCATGATAAAGGGTGCCCACTCTCAGGGTGGGGGGAGCTGCATTTGAAAAGATGGGCTTGGGTCAAGGAACTGCTCCTTTTTTTCCCCAGCCCCCTGAAAGACAGCCCTTTTTGTATTAGGTATAAAACTGAACAAGCGGGTTCAGGAAGCTGCCCAAAGCTATATCCACCCATCCCATGCCCAGAAAGAAGATCTGGTTATATCCTGGGAGAGGAGTATCACTGTCTCCAAGAGGGATGATAACAGGGATGAGGCTCTGAGTAGTCACTGAAGGAAGAGGATGGGACCGGGGGGGAAGAGTTGCATGGACAGAGATTTTTGTTCCATAGAAGGAAGGATGTGTAACAATCCAACAATGGGGCAGGCTCCCCAGGACGCGGTAAGTAGCTGTCACCACAGTATGAAGAGCGATCTGGATCACTACAGTGCGGACATGTTACCACATTCAATGAGCGTGTGAGAGTGTGTGTGCACATGCAGGTGGTTAGATTATCTCCATTCTAAGGCTCTGAAGTCTGAGTGACACAAGACCAAATCATCCATCTGTGCTGAACAATTTACGCAGCCTGGTACCATTAAAACAGCATCCTCCAGGACGGAACCAAGTTAACTGTGAGACAGAAAGGGGCCCTTAGGTGAGGAGGAACTAAGTCAGGCGGGAGGGGAGAACACCAGTACTCTGCTGGATGAAGTCTACACCTCTGGAAGCTCTCTAGGCACCGCGTTCCTCACCTGCACCTGTGAAGATAATGAAAGCTACTGGACGGGGTTGCTGGGAGGGTACCAGAGTGTTCACCATGGGCCAGGAACGGGTTTAAATGCTTTACTTATGTTTTGGAATCCTACAAACGCGGAAACATAGGCAGACAGAACAAGTGACTTATTCGAGGCTGTCCCGCTGGGAAGAGGCAGAGGGCAGCTCAGAGCCTTGCCACAATGCCTGGTACAAAGGAAGGGCTCCCTGCAACAGCGGTTAGAATGGGGGGCGGGGTGGGCGTAATACACTTGGTCAAGAGGGGGCGCTCTGGAGCCATTCTGCGCAGCATGCTGCAGGTAGCTACAGGTTTCGGCGTCCGCTGTCCTCCTCTGTGAAATGGGCACACATTTCACAGGGAGGCTCAAAGAGGAAATGATTTAATACACGTAAAATGTTTAGAAGAATGGCAGGCAATAAGCGCCCCGCGAACGTCAGCTAATACCACATACATGTGCCCCAGATTCTAAACATGGTATGTAGGGGTTTAATATATTAATATAACACAGTGCCACAAGCATGTCCATACTATTTATACACAGACGCAACCACTCAGGAAGGCTCACAAGCTAGTGACGAGGCATGATCCACCCCTGGCCTCATCCAGTTGCGCAGAACGGCAGAAAATGTGCTTATCTGATGGCACTGAGCTTCACCAAACCCAACGCCAGTGGACGCAGGTTGTCCTAGCTATTGGACGGTGGTGGTTTTTCTAAGGCGGTTATTCTCCCTGGAAATCTGCCCTTCAGCTTCTCCCTGAGCCTTTATTCAGGTAAAAGTTCCAACATGTGGCTGAGTGAATGGGAAGGGACCATAACAGCAAAGCTGGGGAAGACTAGAATGCTTCCCACGGACTTTCCCCGCAGGAAGCTCTTCCAGAGACACCCGGGACGGATTGGGGATGGAGACCGCATTCTACTCGAGTCTGAAGAATGGCCCGTCGGGCTGTCCTACCTGGTGAGCTTGGTGCCGATCTGCTGCCTCAGCTCCAGTCTCTCTTCATCCGTCTGCCTGGGAAGGATGTTCTTTTCTTCGAGCTCCCGCTTGGAGGGCCTGTTGCTGAGTTTGATGGCTAAGGAGTCCTTCCTGCACACCTTCATGGCCAGGGAGGCTGCGGGAGGGAGAAACAAGTCCTTAACGCTGCCCCCCAGCTGCCCGGGCTCCACGCGGCCAGGGGTGGGCCACGAGGTGAAAGGCAGGCAGACAGACACAGTGGGCTTAACCCCTGGGGCTGGCTAAGGCCTTACTCAGAGCGTTCATTGATAGAGTTTCTGCGACCAACATGTTCTCTATACCTAGCGCTGTCTTGTGCATGTGAGGGGCACGCAGGGAGACTGTGATTGGATCTCTGCTCCCCAGGAACCCCAGCAGGCAGACAACATCACAAAGGAGGGCCAGCCAGGCTGTGGAGCGCGACAAAACGCAAGGCACAGAGTGGCCAGAGGCCTCGGGGAGCTACGGGGAGCTTCAAAGAGGAGGAGGGGTTGGTGCCCACGGGACAGGTGTCACCCGAAACAGGTAGCGGCTGGAGGCCATCTGCAGGGGGGAAGCTCAGAGAGGACGGGTGAGCCAGGCGATCACAGGAGACGAGAGACCAGCTGGAGTAGAACCGGGGGCGCGCGAAGGGAAGTATAGTTGGGCAAAGTGGGTGTGTTTGGGGCTGGAGTGGAAGCGAGGTCACTGAAACAGGCAACATTCTGGGATTGAGCAGAGGGCAGGGCTTCCTAGAATAAGCCTACGGTTCTCAACCGGGGGTACTTTTGCACCTCCTGTCCCCCACCAAGGACACACTTGGCAAAGTCCAGAGACACCTTTTGCTTGTCAAAACTGGGGGGCGGCAGGGGGAGAAGGGTGTTCCTGGCATCTGGTGGGCAGAGGCCAGGGGTGCTGCTGAGTATCCTGTAATGCACAGGGCAGCCCCCACAACGAAGAATTCTCTGCCCTGAATGTCAGTGGTGCCAAGGCTGGGAAACGCCTCAATTCTCAGGGGAGGAAATGGGGAGCAGAAGCTGGGCGCTGCTCCCACTCATGGGTCCCTTGGGCTTTGGTGGCCCCTCTGTGGTTCTCTCTCTCCTGGACATTATTTTGATCATCTCTTGGCTCGCTCGCCAGGCCTCTTCCCAGCTCTCCAGTTTAGCTGCCTGAAGCCTGGTGCATGTGAAATGGGGGAGAGACTGGGAAGCAGCACATGGTGGGGGGGATTCCTTTGGATTTTATTTAGTAGTGCTGGTCTTCTTTCTTCCTCCACTGGTTTTAGAACAAGGGCCTTGGGAGGAGACCTGGCCGGCTTCAAGTCCCCGTGCTCTTAGATGGGAGGCTCTGGGCGAGCCCCGCCCCTCTCCACATTTTCCCTTATTTGCAAAACGGGGCCAGAGCATCCACGTCAGCGGGTGTTTTAAGATGCACGGAACAGAATAAAATCTTAGCACATTGTCAGGCACACAGTATATATTCAGTAGAAGGTTGCTATTATGTAAATTCATTAAAAAGTTGACCAAATAGGGGCGCTTGTGGGGCTCAGTCAGTTAAGCGTCCGACTCTTGGTTTCGGCTCAGGTCATGATCTCAGGGTCGTGGGATCGAGTCCCACGTCGGGCTCCAAGCTCAGCATGGAGTCTGTTTAAGACGCTCTTGCCCTCTGCTGCTCCCCCACTCACACACACTCTCTGAATAAATAAATAAAATCTTAAAATAGTTGACCAAATAATCAGCCTGTACTCACTTAACTGAAATTTACTATTTATGGCCAGAACACCAGATTCTGAACTTTGCTTTTTCATTGCTTCTTTGCACACGTAAAGGCCTTAAGTAAGAAATTTAAATTCAAGCCTTCTAGAGTTGTAGAGGTGGGCTTAAAAATGAATTTGTTGCATACACAATGGCTAGTATTTCTGAGCATTCTGTGGACTGAAATGGAATTTTAGGGTCCCCCCTCTCTTTTTTTTTTGAGGAAGGGGGTTGGATCCAAGGACAGTAATCAAAGACAGAAAAATCCATCTAAGAGATGAGAAATGGAGGCATGATGTTGCAATTTTTGGAGCTATGAGGGTGTCTGGAGGACATTTACCCTTTTATCTTGCTAACTGAGCTGCCCTGTGACCCCGGGCCAGTGGACACCTGCACCCGGATTGCAGCCAGAGTGGGGGGCAGCTGGGGCAGCCCTCCTACCCCCCGAGCCCCACCCTCAGCGACACCCCGCGATACACACTGGTGTATAGTGCGCTGTCATCGTCTTCGTCCTCCTCTTCCTCCTCCTCTCTCGTGTACAGGCAAGAAGAGTCTTCGTAGTCTGACTCGTGAGGCACATTTTCTTTATTGTCATCACATTCAATCACAACAGTTGGCACTTGTCTTATTTCCGGAAGGCCCAGAGGTCCCGCTTTGGTGACACCGTCACCGGAGTGCAAACCAGAGCTGTGGTAAGAAGTGGAACAGGGGACCCGCTGCTCAGAGCTGTTGGAAGAAGGAGAGGAGAGAGGACGTTAATTCCGGCCAACACGTCACATAAATGCATCAGCATCTTTTTAAGACTCATCTGTCCCATCCTAGGAGACAAAGGGTCTACCGGGCTATTCATGTCTCCTTTCTTACCTTACAGCAAAACATTTTAGGGCAACAGAGTTTCCTGAGGGATGGATGGGGGTAAGGTTTACACATCCAGGTGGACATACTCAATGCCTCTCAACTGTGCACTTGAAAATGGTTATGATGGTAATTGTTTTGTGTGTGGGGGGTCTGGTGCATTTGTCACAAAAACACAGAATTTAAAAAAAAAATACTTTATTTATTTATTTGACAGAGAGAGACACAGTGAGAGAAGGAATACAAGCAGGGGGAGTGGGAGAGGGAGAAGCAGGCTTCCCACTGAGCAGGGAGCCCGATGTGGAGCTCGATCCCAGCACCCTGGGATCATGACCTGAGCCGAAGGCAGATGCCTAACGACTGAGCAACCCAGGCACCCCAGACGCAGAATTTTTTTAAAAAAGAATTTGAATTCCAGAAATATTTATGGTTAAGATAACATTTCCAAGTGTCAAAGGAAGGCTCATTTGCAACCCATGTGTTTCATAGGAGGAGTAAGAGCATTAATTGGAGGGTAAAGCTAGGGATCCAGGAAAGAAAGAGATAATGCCTGAGTTTCTAGCTTCAAAACTACACAGCATGGCTGGTAGGGGCTGGGTGTGGGAGAGACTGTTTGAAATGTCATGGAAGGAGATGCAGAGGAAGAGCAGAGGTGGGACCATAAGGCTGGAGACACATGAATGACCATCGTGGTGGATGGGGTCATGGTAAGTTGGAGGGATTTCCCTCCCAAGGACCCCGTCAGACTCTCAGCAGCCACAGGTAATGTCAGTCTAGTTTTTTTGTAGGTTAATTTTCCAGAAGGCAATGATGATGACATTCTTGGTTTTACCTCCTAAGGTGAACCAACTCAGATAAAAAAAAAAATAGGTATCTTAGTTAAAAATGCTTTGCTTCATTCTAAAAGCCGTATAAATTCACTATAGGGAAATTAGGAGGGAGAGAGAGCATCAAAAATAAAGAAAAATAGTTTTTTTTTTTTTTAAAAAACACAGTCTCTCCTAGGCCTCTTCTAGCAATTTAGAATTCTTCCTATGACAGGCTCTGAATGAAGTCCAACAAGAAAAACGGAGCCAGGAAAGAGTGAAATTTTATAATTCTTCTTCAGGTTAACTGGAAGTGGCATTTACATCTTTCATTTACGGAATTTCTAAGCATAGGTGACTCGATGCATTTTACCATCCAAAAGTGTCTGACATTCACAAGGAAGGGGAGGGTGAGGTTAGGCTAAATTATATATCAATAAATTTTGCATTAGCATATCTCATCCAAAAGAAAAACTTTCTTCGTGACATAGGAGTGCATGATGGTCTCCTTTGAAACATTCATTATACTTTAAATTATTGCCACGTCTAATTGAAATTCAATTAACTTTCTTCCTTCCATTGTTTCCAAAGAGCTGTTTTTCTCTGTGTGTTTTGCACATAACTCTGCGGTGACACAGATGGAAAATCTAGTTAACACATTACGAGACGGGCTATGGTGTTCAAAGCAATGAACTCAATCAACTTAAAAACCCTTCGATGGCTGAGCAAGATTAAAACAGAGTTACAAAAGCAGAGCATCTTATTAACCGTTAGCAGTGTGAGGAGTCCATTTCCCACCTGACGGAGTGCCAGGGGCAATGAGAGCAGGCAGGTGAGCGAATGAGGGGCGGCACACAGGACAGGTGGCTAACAGGGGTTTACTACCCCGCCCGCCGTGTCTCCCTTTCTTCCGCAAGGCACGTACTGCCTCCCAGCTGCGCCCAGATTTCCACACTGAGAATTAAGGAAAGTAGACCCAGAAGAGGCAAAAACCTAACTGCACGGCCGGCCCATGTTTGCCCCACCCCTGCCTGCTCCCCTCCGTCACTGATGGTTTAATTAACAAAGGTTCTGACAAAGCCACAGGACCAGGGATAGGACAGGTAGGAGCCAGGTGTGAAAAGCAGCCCAGAGAAATGCCGGTGTGGTGGGGGAAGAATCTTCGGAGGCCAAAAAAAATTAGAAATGAGAAAGCACAAGAATTCCTTAAGCTAGAAGGTTCCACACTGTCTCAAGAGGACAGAGAAAGGAGAAATATTACACAAAGAAAGGTAAGAAACTCAGCTTCACATCTGGCTGTGATAAACAGGAGCTTGTGGTTTCTCCTCCTTCATAGATACAAGGGAAGAGCGAGGCCTTGAGTAGGACAGGATCATAAGCCCCCCCCCCCACCCCAGCTGCGGTGGCAGGTGCGAGCGATCAGGCCACCAGCCTTGTGAAAGAGGGTCCGGTCACGGTGATTAGCGAGTGTGTTGGGGGCACCACAGACAAATCTGAAGACCTCGCCTGGCCAAGCAGGTCCTCTGCCTCAAGTATGAATCTAGCAGCTGAGAGAACGTCTAATTTGCCACAAGGACAAAAAAGGTGTTTCCCAGGAAGTGAGGTGAATCCACCAAAAGGGTCTGATTCATAAATATCCACCGGCTGCTGACTATATGTCAGGAAAGGTGCTGGGTGGAAGACAAATACCCTGATAATCCCATACGAGTAACTGGGCAGCCAAGGGACAGCAAGAAAAGACAAAGGAGAGAAGAGTCAGCTGAGTGGAGGCTGGAAAGGTTATTATGGGACCTCGGTCTGAGGAGTCAAGACACAGACCGCTTACTATCACATCTTTACGCTGGGCTAATGATGTAACCTCTCTGAGCACCCATCTCCTTGGATGAAACTGGGTAAAACTACCTTTATAGCAGTGAGGTGGCCCTTGGGCGTGCCCATAAATGAGGCCCTCTCCTGTTACTGACAGAAGAGACCTTCCAAGGGGATTCTAGACACTCTTGGCTTCGGACCATTCACACTGTTGTCAGGGCAACTTGCTAAAAAAAACCCAGATCTCATTGCTTCGTCCGTTAGAACCCTGAATGCCTGCCCGGTCCACAAAACTAGTGCTCCAAGAGTGACACAAATGGGAAACCCCGTTAACACCTTACGAGCTGTACTAGTCAAGGCCAAGAACTAAATTGACATAAACATAGCACCTGATTACATTTGGCCTCCAGCCCTGGTGGCTGTAGGCAGGAAAGGGAACACATTGCTGAGTATCAGTCCTAGTAGGGCTGGTTTTCTCTAATGGAGTTGTCACTTAGCAGATTTGCTCTCAGTGAAAGGTCTCACTGTTAAAGAGAAGTGAAAACCATCAGCCTAGAAGCAACAGTTCCAACACAGCAGGACGCATGATCCCCTGCACAATTTGACCCATATTATTAAACCCACCCTCGCTCCCCGCCTACCCAGCCCTGTCCCCATACAACTTACCCCTCGGTCACATGCAACAAGGCATTACATGCTCTTGGCCTGGAATGTGCTCCCCTCCCACCTTCCCTGTGCTGATTTCTATTTATCTGCTAATACTCTGTCCCAGGGGATGCTTTGCCTACATTCTCCAGAGACTCCACCGTTGTGAACACTGTGAACATCTGTTTGCTTGCTACCTCCCGTCCACAACCAAGCTGGAGTCTCCTGGAGGGGCAGGGACCCTGTCTCACTCATGTTTGTAGCAGGTGTCTACCCCTGTTCCTGACACAAAGCAGACAATCATCTTTTATTATTTTTGCTGAGTGAATATGGGCTGGAACCACCGAGATTTAGGTGCTTTTCTAAGGGGCTGGCAAATCATTTTCACAGAGTATTAAGAATTTTTTTTTTTTAAAAAATATTCAGGGAGGTACTTGTGGTGTATGTTCTTCAGGGTTGTGGGTGCCCCTAACTTGGCCGGCACTTTCATCAATGGCTTAATGACAAAAAGGGCATCCTCATCAAATATATGGAAGAACTGAGACAGAGAAGGCATGGAGAGTGAAAAAAAGGAACATTTCTTGACTGTGTTGTCCCCTGTTCTAGAAACTTCCATATCTGATATCTCATTTCATCTTTATGACAACTCTGCAGGAGAAATGTCATTATCCTCATTTTATTAAGCAGGAAATTGAGGCTCCGGGAGGGTAATGAACAGGCCTGTGAGGACACAGGTAGTAAAGAAGGGCGCTGGAATTTGAACTCATCCTGTTTCAATATATGCTATACCTAAAAATTGAATAGCGGTACTGGTAAGACTGTGTACTTGGATTAATCACAAACCCAACTGTACACATGTAAGGTGGAGGAAATGTGTAGAAGAGAGCATTATTACTTTATGTAAGTATTTTAAATCTTACTATAACCAGGACAGGTAATAGTGTTCTACCTTGCCACAGTCAGGCTGCCCTTGGGCACTGAGTTTAAAGGATTCATTTAGACACTGCACTGTAATGGTCAGGATGGTGAAGGGACTCATCTGATGATTCCTCTGTTGACTCATCGGACGACCTCCTCATGTTGACTGTCTTGGCCTCTTTTGCTCCAAAATGCCAGAGTTGAGTAGTTGCAACAGAGCCTCAAATCTTCACTATCTCAACTATCAGAAAATGTTTTCTGAAATTTGTATGGAACCTTGGCTGGAGGTATCATAATCCCAGATTTCAAGATATACTACAAGGCTGAGGGTACTGGCACAAAAACAGACACACAGATCCACAGAACAGGACGGGGAGCCCAGAAATAAACCCACGCTTATATGGTCACTTAATCTACAACAAAGGAGGCAAGAATATACAATGGGGAAAAGACCATCTCTTTAATCAACACTGCTGGGAAAACTGGACAGCTACCTGCAAAAGAATGGAACTGGACTACTTTCTTACACTGTGCACAAACTTAAACTCAAAATGGATTAAGGACCTAGCTGTGAGACCTGAAATCATAAAAAACCCCAGAAGAGAACACAGGCAGGACTCTCTTTCGCCTTAGCAACATTTTTCTAGCTATGCCTCTTAAGGCAGCAGAAACAAGAGCAAAATTAAACTCCTGGG